ATGTCTGCAGGAGCCGGGCCCACTGCTCCGGCATGCCCTACAACACACACACACACACACACATGCACACACGCTTCATGAAGAGTCCAGACAAGGCAGTCGTGTCACATTTTCACTGTGCACCCAGAACCAGGTTACTTCTCCTTCTTTCCAGCTTTCTTTCTTCTCCTCTGTTGGGGTCAGTTTATCGCATTCTTCAATCACACAATTCCTTTCCTTAATGTTAAAACCATTTCTTTAGCCTCTATCACTTATACTGATGTTGCACTGATTTCAGTACAAATGACAAATGTTTCTGTGCATTGAGCAGCAACGATGTCCCAGATAACAGGAGAGAGAGGAGCGCCTCAGTGAGCGCACACACACACACACGCACGCACGCATGCACGCACACACACACACACTCTTTAAGTCCCAGCTAAAAAAGCCTGGTCAGGCGGATCGAGTGAGTCAGAGGAACAAGGCGTCTTTGTCTAATGTTACAAAAATGTGTGAAGTATGTGTATTGAACACAGACACACACATTTATACACACAGACACGCAACCATGAACACAGGTCTTTTGGTGAGCAATTAAAAAGTGATGCAGACACACATACTACAAACCACAAATACCACACACACACAGACACACAGACACACACACACTACAAACCACAAATACCACACACACACAGACACACAGACACACACACACTACAAACCACAAATACCACACACACACACAGACACACACAGACACACACAGACACACACACACTTACAGTAAACTCCCCGGTAACAGCATCAAAGCCCACATGGATGGTGTGTTCAAAGTCGGATGGCAGAGAAATTTCTGGACGCTCCTTTTTCTTATAGGCTGAAAGAAAAAAAACACAGATTGTGTCAAGAAACTGTAACAAACCAAACATAATGTTTACAATTCAGAATATTCCTGTTTCTTCAGCATAAATGTTGGAGCTGTGAAAAAGAGAAGGATTCATACTTGCACCGATACAATAATTAAAATGAGTGAAATCAGAAAAACTGAAATGCAACCATCAAACTCCCCTAAACATGAGGCACGAAGATCCAGAGAGAAACAGTACAAAGGAAAAGAGGAATAAAAATAGAAACAGACAGTGAAGGGAAAGGTCAAGGAAAACCTGAGTGAATTTACAAAGAAAGGAGGCAAGAAAGAAGAAACAGAACGAAAAGAAAAAGAGTGAGAAAGAGTGAGGGGAAAAAAGGAGACACCATATGTTAGAATTGATGTGAGGAGATCTTCAGGGAAATCATTACAGCAGAGCCGTCGGGACGACTGACAACGATGCAGGACCACCAGCTTCATGCATCATGGGTAATCTGCCCCTGTGTGTGTGCACGAGGAATAAGGTGGACCAGGAAAAGACGAGACAAACTGGAGCTCGTTTCAGTAAATGTGTAAATCCAGAAGCAGCAGCTGGGACGAGAGTTCGAGAGAAACATTTTTCTATTGAGCAGTTTTAACAAAACATGAATACAACAGAATCCACACAGACGATTTGATCTTGAACAAAATAGATTAGAAACTAAAACAACTGAAAACACTTCAGCCCACAAACACAAACACACACACACATACACAAACACAAACACACACACCTTCTTTTTACATCATGTACCAGATTATTTCTTGGCTGGGACCAGTTTTCTACCCTGGTTTCCCTCCAACTAGTTTCTGCCAACGATCTTCTCTGTCACACAACTTTCTATGAAACTACTGTTTTTACGTTTGAGGTTCTGTTCAGATTAAACAAACAAGATACAGAAAGTTCACCAGTGACCTTTAGAGAAGCTGGAGGCAGGTTTCCTTACAGCAGGACGGAGCCAGGCTAGCTGTTTCCCCAGGTTTACAGTCTTTATGCTAAGCTAACGAGGTACAGCATGTAGCTTCAAATTGTTGTCAATGGTATTGATCATTTAACTCAAAAGAGATATTGCATCATTTCCAAAACTCCAAACTATTACAGACAAAGCTTGAATCACAAGAAATATTTTAAAAGTAATTTGAAAGTTTGAAACGTTAACTGCACTTGTAATAAATCGTTTGAAAAATATGTTTGTTGTAAACGGCCCAACAGTCTCACACTGAGGAAATTAGATGTTAATGAATATTGATAAAAAATGTCCCTCCTGAGTTTCAGCTGTGTTCTGGCTGAACACTGGTTTATCTGAACTATCCGTCAAAGTGTAAACTGTGTATTTGCGTGCGTGAGAACATGCATGTATGTATTGTCTGAAGTAGGCCAGCCATGTGATGTGAGATGTGGAACAGAACTGGTTCCTTTAGTTCATTGTGTGTGTGTGTGTGTG